TTGTTAATATTCTCGTTCCGGTTTAACTCTTTCCACCCCCAACTGAAATGAGTGGTTTAATCCTCGGTTGTTGATTGCTCGATTACACTTAGATAATGACATTTCTGAATACACATTGCAAATAAAAAATGTTTACTATTCATGTTCATATAAAATAATGATTTGTATATTGTGTTCGAAAGCGATATAATCTTTGATAGTTGAACAATTACTAGTATACTTTTTGTAAGAAATGGAAGGGGTTAAAATGAAGTAAGGCCACTTTTCTTATTTGATAATTGTATTCGAAAGCGCCATAATCACACAGTAATTCAAATACCTACTACGACCAAGGGGTTGAAGCGCTATCATCCCCTTTGATAGGGGTGCAAAGTACCGAAATTAATAGCACCATAACTTCATAATCGAGTTATTTTCTCATATAAATCTTATGATTATAGAGATAACATACAATTTCGTTAAAATATGTACATACATAGAAATTTCGGAATCTTCAAAATAAAAACAACTTTGAAACTCTATATCTTTTGAAATAAAAAATTTACGAAAAAAAAAGTATATGACAAATTTATGTAAAATTTGATGTTCTAAAATTTCTAATAACAATATTTTTTTGTAAAGTGAACTTATAAAAAGATATGATTGAAAAACTAAAAAACCAACCAAATTTCTTTGGTTTTAGGGGTGGTACGGGGGAAGCACAAGGGGTGGGAGGTCGAAAACTTGGATTCTTAACCACCAGGTATTCCTACATGACATGCAAAATTGTAACTACTTCTCGTTTTGCAGGAAATGGTCCATTTTCAGTCTCTATTCCCCGGACTACTAGCCTACCCAGAGGGTTATTGGTATCTATCATCGCTACTTTGCAACTACAAGGCAACTCCTTTCGGCAGCTTTCTTGTAGCTACTGCGCGGTGCTCCAGCCTTGCTGACACCCGCCTTTGGTTGGAGCTGTGGTCTGCTCTTGGCGGTTGGGTCGGTGTTGAGTTATCCGACCTCTGTCTCTTTTTCTCTCCGCCTACCCGTTTGTCCGCCTGACCGAAGTTAGCTCTAGAAACCTGTCTCTTGATCAGGGTTGTATCACGGGAGGGGATGTTGGGAGGTTGGAGCAGTTTGATCTTTTTGGGCCAACCTTGCCTTCTTTCTAGTCTCTTCTGCTCAGCGCCGGAGATGAGCTTGCGTGGTTTGGTGTGTTGTTGACACCCGGCGACCTGTGACATAGGTTAAGAGATATCCTGGGACGTGAACTCTGATTTATTGTTTTAATCAGACTCTGTCAGAAGAGTGTAAATTGGTCCTTCTAGCTCCCCAACCCCCGCGGAACCCCCAACAAGGTTACGTCTATCCAGACGCCATGGGCTACTAGAAGAGTATAAACTTTAACGTACATAATTCATTTCCGTAAAGTACATGGATTTGTACGTTACGTCGTTACGTACCCTAGGGATGGGTTTCAAGAATCGTTCTTGGTATTTCGATACCTTTTTCGCTTATTTTTAGATTAACAAGCTTATTTTTGTATTCTTAGGAGACATATTTATAAGCCCTGCGGCTTGCATAATCATTATGACTAGGTAATTAAAATGTCACACGGTAACAATTTACTTAGTCATCTATTTGCCGTGTTAATTTCATCCCAAACCAAATGTCAGTTCATCATTTCGGGCGCCTTTCCGAGAAAAACCGCTTGAAAGACGAATTCAATTTATTTCGTTCCTTTTGTTAAATTTAAACGAACGTAATGAAAACCACATCAAATAATCTGTCGAGATAAAACGAAGCGAAAAATTTGTAGAATTCAATCTGCTAAACAATAAACTGTGATTATACTCCAGAGTATTTTCAAATTAGAGATTGCGCGTTTAGAGAAGGACAAACCCTCGAAGGATATAAAATTCAGCGAATCGCTGTAAAAAAGCTTTCGTTCAAGGCAGTATTTATAGGTTTAGGTACTACAACCTTCGTTTTCCGATGCAGTAATATGCTTTGATTGAAAAAGAGCGCTCAGCAAAATATAAATGTCTGTCGTTTTCCTTTCCTTCGTGTTTCATGGCAAATCCAACTCTCCCATTGTTTTATTGGAAGATTCTAGGACCAGTTGAATAGTAGTTTTTCACCCTCAGTTTTATTTAGATGGTACATGGGAGGCCAGGGCAAAATTTTTGAATCGGATTTTAGTTCTAGAATTGCTTTTGGACAAGTAGCGTGGTCCAAGACATCTTCAATTAAATCGGTGTCATTTACAATTTCGACGTCCCGTTACTTGAAACAGTACGAGTCTAATGTCAACATAACCGAAAAAGTAACACCTCTTCACTCCACTGAGAAAATTGAAAAATACATGCTAATCTGACTCCAAGTAACAAAAGGAGGTGAAATTTTGATTGGGTGGATTCGTGAATAAGTTACTTAAAAAGTGAAATCTTTTACATTCATCAATCTAATAGGGAAGCGTTTAACAGTTATCAGTTAATATTCTTCATTTACATATTTGCGAAAAAATCTCGAAACGCTACATGCATACCAAATGCATTCCGTATTTTTCAAAACTGACCGAAGTAAAGGCTATTCGAGTAGTGCTTCCACTGGGTCAAGGTAACGGGATTGGTGACGTAAACAAGAAGAAATAGAGAGAGCGGGAGTCAGCTGTTTTAGATGGAATGCATGCACCGTTACATAACAAGCTTCTTTCTCTATCTAAAACCGGAGGACAATTATTGAGCAGTCGCCCCAATCGAAGTTTATCATAATATCATCTCTTCCGCTCGCGATTTGAATATAACCGTTTATTGGCCCTAAATCGCAGTACTCCGGCAATTAATTTAACTTTCTCGAAACAGGCGAAAGTACGGGCAATAGTGGAAGACCGTACGATGGGGCATTAATTAGGAATAAGCAATCAATGTAACTAATTTTATACGAACTTATCGTCAGTAGAAAACTGGATCTAATCGCATTTACCGTTTATTGCGGTAATACTCTTGTGCACCCTTAGGCATGCTTAGCCTCAGTACTTTGTGGTGTCTGTTGACTTACCCTTTTACCACTGAATTTGCAATATTTTTCTATTTATGCAATTTACACTAAATTGTATCTTATTGGGCGGAAAACTCACACTTTGGAATATATCCAACCACGATAAGGGGTGGAGGAGGAGGACTACAGTTGGTAGAAATTAATTTCTTGTTGAAACCTTTCATTAGAGTAGCATGAGTTCCCCCGCCACAGGCTCCGTCGCCCACTTATTTCGAAAAAGAGTCGCCCGGGAAGGGTAGTAGAAGGTGTGTTAACCCCCCCTCCAATTTTTAAAAGTTTAACTTGGCACCACTAAAGGCATGCGTATGCATCAATCTGAGATCAATTGATTATCGTATGTAGAAGTTATGCACGGTTTACTGTCAAAAACCGCATCTCAGGAAATAATTCATGCCCCCCCCCCCCCCCTTAAGACACCGAAATATGATGGTTGCCTGGCACACCTTTAACGTATAAGCTACCTATACATTGGATATTTTTAGATGTTAACCTATCAATCAAGATTGAAACTCGGCTATCTTTGATACCACTTTATTAAATAAAATCCTGAGAAAATTAAAATTTTATATTTGATCATGACTCTCGTCATGACTCCTCTCCCTAGTGGTTATTTTACACACTAGAAAATAATTTCCAGCAATTTCTGTTGGCCACTTTTATTATACAATTTTTTACCCGAAGGCTCTATGTTTCTCTAGTTTCTGAGACATTTTTATTTTGCCACTGTACATACTCAAAAAAATGTAGGATCAACCTGTATTTTCAGTTCTGCCCAGATGAAAACTCGGGCCGCTTTCGAAAATAAGCATTGTTGATGCAACGGAACATGGTAGGCATGAAAATGATTTATGAGATTAAGTACTAGTACATTTCTGTTTCAATTAATCTTATTTTACTACAAAATATGGAGTACACATACGCGACTTTTTCTTAGCCCACTGATTAGGGCCGAGAGTACGTTATAATCGTCACCTGATGCGACACCGTTGGCGTTTCGTCTTGAAAGAAACTCGTAACTTTGTACCCATATACGAAAACATAAACATTGCCAATGTTAAAAAAAATTAGGTAGATAGATTGAGTTCTTGATTTAATTTATTGTATTTATTTGTATGCAAAATGAGAAACAAATTACGAATCGACGAATATACACGATCCCTAGGTTTCTGAAAAGGTCCATTTTCGAATATTAATTCAATTTCAAACTGATTTTTTGCACCACCGCATGCAATTAATTTATACAATATCATATGAGATTCTATTAAAGCAAAATCCTCCTACCCCCACGAGTTTTTAATTTAAACCTTTATATCTCAGATTGGTATACCTAACGTGTTTTTTTGTAAACTAAAAGGGCAACTTTAAGGTTCGGGACTCTAAATGCCCAGTTTCGCAAACTATAGTTAAGGTTACTCACTGATTAAAAACATTAGAATGGTAAACATCTGAGCGTATAATGAAAGAGGTGGCTAGCATTCTAATATTTTTAATCACCGATTAAGCTTAATCATCGTTTATTAAAACCGGGCATAGGAAATTTTTCCATGATGCCACCACCCCTCCCTCTTGACGATCCTTGAGGATTTTTCTAAATAGTTTTATGGAGACATACTTCCTATCCCTATGTGTGCATGTTGCATATTTCGAGCGTTCAATTTGTTTCTACTCATAAAATCACCTACCAGAACTTTACATTCTGCCAAAGTTACAGTTTAGTTTTAGAGTGAATTAGCTTCCCGCTTGCTACCAAATTTTAAAAGTTTTTGAAAAATCCATTTCATTTGTAGAACAAGAAGACCCTTGAAAACTAGGTGCTGACAGTGACAGCAAACCTACAAGAATTTATTTCGTGCAATATTTGAAAAGCGAAAAATAATAATACGTCAATTAAATGTGATGATTTTGTAATTGTCGTGTATAATATTTGATTAGATAGCCATTGCATAAATAATTGAGCAACAGTAACACGGTTATCAAATTTGAATAAAAGACCAACAGAAATGTTCAAAGAAATTAATTGAAGAAGCGACCATGAAGTTCTTGATACTAGCGTTTTTTGTTTCCATCAGTGTAGCTGTTAAGGTGAGTAATTAAAGATGGAGCACTACCAGTACAAATGCCTATATCTCACCAGATTACTCCAGATATTATTGAATCATGGGAGGCTACTATCGCTCCTTACGTGGAAAAGTGCAAAGCGGAATCAAACGTAAATTCAAGGCACGTCGAGAAATTGAAGTTTTTGGAATTTGCTGAGGAGAAGGAGTTCTTTTGCTATGTAAAATGTTTATATAAAAATATTGAGTTTATTGATAAAAATGGAAACATCAACATCGATCAAATTGTTAAATTATCTATTGATATAGATATTGCGACCAAATGCAAAGAAAGAGCCGAACCGGAAGGGGACGAATGTAGAAAGGCTTTTATACTCTTAACGTGCATTGTAGATTATATGCAATGATTTAAGAAAATTGAATAAAAACGACTGACGTTATTATTCGAAAAAGTGCTCGTGGACCTATTTACGTCTAACACCATTTATCCTAGTTCTGGAGAGGACTAGCGAAGGTGAGGTATTTCTGAATGTGAATTTTCACAGGACGTTCTCATGAAATTGAAGCAACATTAAGGTCGTTTCCACCATCAGGCACGGTGTCTTTTGAATTATTATGAAACGTAACGGGTATCATGACGTGCAGTATGTCTCTTACAGAAAATAATGCTCGTGTGCGAAAATCAGGAGGGTTCAAATCGATGATAAGAAAGGTGATGGTCAATGATTACGCAATTATCACTATAGATAAATATTTTAAAATGATATCCGAGCTTCACGAAATTTTTAATTGCCTCAAATTTGCAAGTGAAAATTGATAATGAACGTCTCGTCACAAAGTGAGGAAGAAGGTGCATTTAGAGTAATTAATTATACTAGTTCGATATGAACACCATAATGTGTAGCCGAGTGGTTTTAGATACATTAGTTTCAATAATCGAATGTGTATCATTCAAAATTTAATCTGCGACGATCCAAATCGATTTTATTCGCACGTTGAGTTATCTAAACGTTTTCGTAAATTACAATTCAAAATATCAATATTTAGATTCTGAGGTTCCTTCGGATGTTTAAGAGATTGTTCAAAACCTTATTGGTACCCTACTTCTGGGAAAATCAAGAACGACTTGTTTGTCTTCTTAAAATTATTATTCGTAATAACATTTTGAAAGCCGTAATGATTCAATCGCCATGCTAAATCTGTCACAATGGACCGTCGTAGATTAGAAATGTTAGATATTTTAGTAAAACACGATGGTTCTAAAATTAAAACATTACCGAATTTACCAATAGTTAGCAAGAAACTTATTTTGTACTTCATGAGACTACACAATATATTTCTTGACCAAGACGGTTAACATCAAAATTGTGTATTTTGTTCTCCTGAATCTGAATCTGTAATTAAAAAAACAAAACAACATCGAATTTTTCAGATAATAACAAAAATACTATTTTTTATATGAAACACCCTGTATATTAATACCTCTTAAAAGAGATCCCCATTTTTTGCAGCGTATTAAATTCTGTTCTTAATGCACCATACCCAAAATACTTCAAATACCTAATATTTTTCAATTATTATTATAACCTACAGCTAAATTTAAAGCAGTAGAGTTAATGATTCTCGTTTTCCTCAACAATCTGTTTTTGTATGATACAACCCCCTTTGATATAGTTTCACAAGTTTTTGGATACATAGAAAGGTGCTGAGAAAGTTATTACATTATCTATCTGTGTAGTATAGTGATGATCATTAATTTAGTCTATGATTGCACATACCTGTTTGTACCAGATCTCGCACAATAATGTCTAATATGGGGGGGGGGGGGCGGTCAAATTCAAACAACGCGTTCTGTGTAACAATGGCTTGAATTATTACACTTCTCTTGGAAATAAGGCATAGTTTTTGCAGATTTATAAAAACTACGTTCTCTCAAACAATTTAAGGTTAAAGGGGGACGTTTTGCACAATATCGATTTCAGAGTCTCCTATAATCCAATTTAAGTAATATTATTGTTTGTGATTGGAATGTATTGAAGGTAGTGATGTGGATTGTAAAATAACGATTTGTAAGTTACATAAAAAACGGTTATATTACGCGTAACTTACAAGAGGCCGGTTTTTTTATGTAATTTATGTCTTTTATGAAACTTACGTAAGTTACGTTTTTAATTTAAAAAACCGTAATTTTTGTAAGTTACATAAATGTAATACCTATTTGATACATTTTGATCGGTACTACCACAGACCATCAACGGTACTACCAACGTAAACGGTTCACCGTTGAATTTAGTTAGGTTTAATGAAGATGATACAGCCTCTAATTCGCGATCTGGAACTTCTTCCTCCAAACGACGCGTGATGGCGAAATACCTACTGCTTGGGTATTTTATTTAATACACCAAAATATATAATTTAACAAGTGTTTTTATTTTCAAACACTCACAAAACTCAAAAAGGTTTATACAATATTGAAAAAAAACATAGAAAAACATAAAAGACAAGTAATTTTACAAAAATATTTGTAAATTACATAAAAAACATAAATTACTGGTAATTTTACTGAAAAATTACGGTTTTTTTAAAAAAAAAATGGTAAGTTACATAATTTACATAAAATACATAAAAAACATAAACAATTGGTAATTTTACACGTAATATTACGCACTTAAAAAAAAACGTGTAATTTAAAATCACTAGTTTCTAGTCTATAACTTTTGATTGAGAAGTCTGGTCGAAAAAGTACGAATTGATTTGGATTCTACGCACCCAAATTAATAAGAAAAAGTGTTTTCCCGAGAAATTTTGGTGTAGTCGATTTTTGGTAAAAAAGGAAGGTTATACACTGCCTTTTTTTGAGCCCCGAAAAAAAAATTGTCTCAGATCGACCCGGAAAAAAAATTTTCTTATAGAATGTGGCCTGTAGAATCCATAATTTCAAACAGTTCCAAGATTGGGCTACTAGTCCAAAAGTTACAGCCCTTTGAATTTTTTTTCGAAATTGGTTTCTAGTCTATAACTTTTGATTGAGAAGTCTGATCGAAAAAGTACGAATTGATTTGGATTCTACGCACCCAAATTAATAAGAAAAAATGTTTTCCCGAGAAATTTTGGTGTAGTCGATTTTTGGTAAAAAAAGGAAGGTTATACACTGCCTTTTTTTGAGCCCGAAAAAAAAATTGTCTCAGATCGACCCGGAAAAAAAATTTTCTTATAGAATGTGGCCTGTAGAATCCATAATTTCAAACAGTTCCAGGATTGGGCTACTAGTTCAAAAGTTACAGCCCTTTGAATTTTTTTTCGAAATTGGTTTCTCTTGAAGGTGTGTGCTAAAGCATTCTCGATAAATATTTGAAAAGGTGTACTCCACCGGGACGAAACAAGGATGCGTATTTGATTGAAATGTATTAACTTTCAAACTAGATTCGCTGTTTCCATTCTTTTCACAACTAAAATTAATAGAAATGACGGTGTTCTACTAAACATACCTACTAAAAAGTGGAACATTACTTCTAATCGGCATAAAAACTAAAAACCTAAGCACTGTGAATCATGTAAACGATACTAATAAAAATTCCTTATGTATAATTTTTCTTTGTTAAAGATTAGATAATCAAACGTTAGGAATCAATGAATATAAACAGTATAATTGAAAAGCAACCCCATTGCTGGTACGTCATAGGTAATAAGCTCAGCCCAGCTCCGTTTACACTCCCCGCCGTCGGCATTGTTAGGGCAGTGGTGGAGAAACGGTGCACCAAATGTTTACAGTTCTTTTCTGAACTGTCCATTTACGCAAATTTACCTGAAATCCCCTTCAGTTGCAAAAAACAATATTAATTAAAGAAAAATTAAAAAATTGACGACACTAAGCACAATTTTTTGTTCCAGGAAGCACAGGACGAAACATTCGAAATTTGCCCTGCGTGTCAAGAAAAAGTAATGAACGAGGGGTATGCATGTTCGCAATAGACTGTCTAAAAGCTAACGGGACCCATTTAGGAACGTGCATAGATGGTTTTTACTTTGGTTCTTGTTGTCACATTAGACCAGCCCACGAAGATGGTAATTCTATCGATACCGCCATTATTCCTGCCCGCGAACCACCTAGTCGAATTTCAAGTACAACAAAGCACCCTACAACTAAAATTGAAGGAATTTTGTTTGACGGGAACATAACCATGACAAGATCAACGAGCTCTTTGATAGTGTCTTCGACCACTACGTCACCTATAGTAACTTCACAATCCAGTTTGATGCCTAATACGACATCAGTGTTGACTACTACAACGTTAAAAGAAGAGAATCTCACCAGAACATCAGAAGATAGTTACAAACTCTCAACATTTCAAACAGTTGAGAAACACACAACGTCACTTTTAAACGTAACAGCCAAGCCAACGAAAACCACAGTGACAACAATAAAACCACCGTCTTACACCACAAAACCGAGGCCGAAACCCTCATCGACCCCGAAGCCGGCATCAACTACGACCAAACCTTTCAAACTAACAAGACCAACGACACCTACAACCACACGAACAACGAAGCCTGTGAAATTAATTACTAAACCTATAATTACAAAGAAACCGATTATAGTTTCATCGTCAACTATCAAATTAACTAAACCATCCACTAGTGCAACGACAACTAAACCACCAGCAACCTCAACCAGTGCTAAAACACCAAGCGCCGTCACAACGACAGAAAAGGCTGTGATACCGATTCTTGTAAAGCTGAACACAACATCCACGGTCGAACCCAACGAGGTTCCAGTCGTTGGAAACCCAGCTACCAACGAAATTGAGCAGGTCAAGCCTCTACAACCACCTCCCACAGTCGAACAAACTACCAGCGCCACGCTAATCACGTGGTCAACAATTAGCGAAGAGACAACGAAACCCTCAAACATATCCCAGGGTAAGTGCGTGAGCTAATAAGCATTAGAACCGATAAATCTTGAATATTTAGGATGGAAACCACTGACCACTCCAGATGGATGGGTACTCATTCCCAGTTTATCAACCCTAACACCTACAGCGAGCTCGGTTACAGTCAATTACACACTGGAAAGTAGTACAATGCCAGTACAAACCTCCACGTTAAGTTCAAGTTCTCAAATGTCGTCAATCGGAGAAAGCGCTAATGTGACAAGTTCAAGTGCAATTACCACGGAAACGCTTTCGACTACCTTGCCATTGCTACCTGTCCAAGTCCCACAGACAACCGGTGGTGTAAATATGAGCGATTTTACTGATGGTAAGTTTGAAGCATCGCGTAAATAATCTTCGTGTTTATATTAATTTAAATCACACTCTTGTTTCGGTCCATGAACTTTCAAGGTAAAATAAATCCTTCTGGCTATCAATTGATGTTGCGAGAAAAATTTCAGAGCAAGTCTACATTTATACTTCACTCCGTGTAGACACGAAGGTTATTAGCTCGCGCGCTGTAGAATGAACAAGTGAATTTTCGAAGTTAATCCATAAATGTGTAATTTGTATAAAATGGTAATGATTACATCGACTCTTTTATTGGCAACAGTTTGTGGAAGACGAATGTATCCCGAAGCCAGAATAGTTGGAGGTGAAAGATCAACGTTTGGCAAGTGGCCCTGGCAGATCTCTTTAAGACAATGGAGAACATCGACTTACTTACACAAATGTGGTGCAGCTTTATTGAACGAAAACTGGGCTATAACGGCCGCCCACTGTGTTGACAAGTAAGTACTTATTTGTTAAAAGTCTTGTAGGTGGCGGCACAAAGACCTGCATTGTTACAAATTTGGCATGCAAGGTTTCTCTAAGTTCATAGGACACTACACTTCAAAGTTGTTGAAATAAATAAGGTTACACATTAATAATAAGTATATACTCGAATTATCGTGAAGATATGCCTGCAGATTCGGCGCTGCATTTGGTATAGTTACTTGACCATTTAAGACCACTGTTGAAAACAATAATCCTATAATTTTAAGCGATCACCATAAATAATCCTCCCATCATTCATTATAAATAATGGAAAACCCCAAAGAACAAACAATAAACAATTATTATTATTGGAATACTGAGATATCCTAAATGACACGTTGATGACTGTCTCTTCCTAATGACTTCAACCTTAACTAAAGAATGAATTAGGTACAAACAATAACGAAAAGCAATTCTTGGGATTGTGTATTTGAAAAAGTTTGTTGTGGTCAGAACTGGGCAGAATACTTTCAAAAAGTATTTGAATACTAAATACTTTTACGTCCAGCACAAGCGAATACTAGATACAGATACATTGAAAAGTATTCAAATACTTAAAAAAATAAGTATTCAAATACTTTAGGATGTATTCGAATACTTTCAAAGGTATTCGAATACTTTCAAAAGTATTCTAATACTATCAAAGGTATTCGAATACTATAAAAAGTATTCGAATATTTTAAAAAGTATTTCATTATCTTACTTTGAAAAGTATTCGAATACAGTAAAAAGTATTCAAATACTTGTCACTCAAATACATTAAAAATTTAAAATAGTATACTAGATAAGAGGCTTAATACTACTTAAAAAATCAAGTTATACTTTGTATGGGGTAAGCTTTTTTTATATTTCTATTGTTATATACAAATTTAAGGGGAGTAAAAGCGTATTATTATTATATTATTATATAGGAGGTACCTACCAGGACCTTTCTTATACCAGTTATATCCTTAAGAATACGTGTACCAGTTTTCAAAGCGATCGTACGTCGTGCACATGATACGTACGCCTTTCCGAAATTAATCCTAGCGATTTTGGAACAGATCCATTTTTGACCATCCGTTTGTCCGTGTGCATGATAACTTGTTTAGAAACGTGCGATCGCTTTGAAAATTGGTACACATGGTCTTAAGGATATAAGAAAGGTCCCTATTGTTTTTAAGTTACGTAGACTATCGAGTTCGGTATTCAGATGTATCGGATTTTTATATTTGATTTTGTGACAATGGAAACTTTCCCTAAACATTTCTAAATTGTTCTCAAATATTTGAATAACTTAAAAGTACTGACTTTTTTTGAGCCCGGAAAAAAAATGGTCTGGGATCGAGATCGATCGAGAGGCCATAATTTCAAACAGTTTGAAGATTGGGTACTAGATCAAAAGTTACAGCCCTTTGAATTTTTTTTCGAAATTTTTTTTTGTCCATAACTTTTTATTGAGAGGTCTAATCGAAAACGTACGAATTGTTTTGGATTCTACGCACCAAAATTAATAAGAAAAAGTGTTTTCCCGAGAAATTTTGGTGCAGTCGAATTTTGGTAAAAAAGGAAGGTTATACACTGCCTTTTTTTGAGGCCCGAAAAAAAAATTGTCTCAGATCGACCCGGAAAAAAACATTTTCTTATAGAATGTGGCCTGTAGAATCCATAATTTCAAACAGTTCCAAGATTGGGCTACTAGTTCAAAAGTTACAGCCCTTTGAATTTTCTTTCGAAATTGGTTTCTAGTCTATAACTTTTGATTGAGAAGTCTGATCGAAAAAGTACGAATTGTTTTGGATTCTACGCACCAAAATTAATAAGAAAAAGTGTTTTCCCGAGAAATTTTGGTGCAGTCGATTTTTGGTAAAAAAGGAAGGTTATTCAAATACTATGCGAAGTATTCGAATACTTCTCAAAGTATTCAAATACCTTGCGAAGTATTCGAATACTTTACGAAGTATCCAAATACTTTGCGAAGTATTCGAATACTAAATATTTGTGGAAGTATTTGAGTTACAAAAACAAATACTGCTTCCATAAAAGTATTTAATTACAAAGTATTTGAATACTTTAAAGGATTTGAATACTAAAAAGTATTTACAAAATCGAATACTGCCCATCTCTGGTTGTGGTCCCCTGTATCTCCCCATTTAGTCGGGCACAACGCAACCCTGTTTAAGATGTAGAAACGTATGGTCATTGGCAAAAATAGTGATCACCTAATAGGTAAGCATTACTTTTGTCAATGACTGTACATAGCAATCCAGTATTACAAGCTGTCTCTCTTGTTCTGGACCCTCAAAAAGTTTTCGCCCGATTACAGAGTGACCCACAGAGATACCCCCGCTGAAGGTCCTAAGTTGCTCTATACTACTCCAGACCTTACAAATTAGAAAGACTGCAGGAAAGCCTAATTCGGAAATTTAGAGTGATCTATCTATAGTTGCCATTCATTTACAGGAGTATAGATTGGTCTTGAAACAATAACAAAATTAGGCATTTTGAAATTGCGTTGCAGAGGGCCCGACCGGAAAACAATTTTTAACAAGCTTATATTACGTCCAGGTTGTCCAGGAATTACAAAAAATTAGATGAAAAGCACTACCGAAAGAACTTTTGGTTTCAGTGGGATGGTCCTCGCGCTGTCCAAATATTGCTTTGGTGTTCCTTTCAGAACGTTGTATAGCATGCAGATAATCACAGTCATTCGCTCGGGAGCTTCATGTGTGTCTCTCCAGAACCGAATTCGCTGCTCCCTGGACTATAGACAAAAATAAACAAAGAGAGCTGCATGCTGTCGTAAAGCTCAAAGAAAAATGCACACACTGCCGGACGTAGGGATAAGCGAGCTGGATGATAAGCTGCAGCTAAGCAATATTATGGAAGTAACATGCAGAGTTGAAAAACGTAGAAATGAACCATTCCTTTTAAAGATGCCAGACAGAGAGCTTCTGGTAATCATGAAAATAAATTCGCATGGCTTGTTTGGTAGAAATATTGTGCTTCTATGGTTACTCTACGTTGTAAAGTTGGATTTGTTTCTTTCTTAATTGTGTACTAATATTATTTAAACAATGCAAAAATTATTGATAATTTTTTATAATATGGCGCTATGTATAATGGCATGCGATCACTACGGCACCCACAAAACACCTGTTCAGTTAGCTCAATTTATTCGATAATTTCTGTAATAAAAGTTTGCAACTAAGTTTTTTCATTAGATATAAACCTATATTAGTCCATAGGTAGAAGAATCATTTTACTAAGCGTATTTTTCTTGCAGCGTACCACCTAGCGATCTACTTCTACGTTTGGGCGAGCACGATCTTTCCACTGACAGCGAACCGTACATACACCAAGAAAGAAGAGTGCAAATAGTTGCCGCTCACCCACAATTCGATCCGCGCACCTTCGAGTACGACTTAGCCCTCCTTCGGTTTTACGAACCGGTCCAATTCCAACCGAACATTATTCCGGTATGCGTACCGAACACCGATGAAAACTTCGTGGGCCGAACGGCGTACGTGACCGGCTGGGGGCGTCTCTACGAAGGTATGTCGCAAATCACTTTCGGCGGGCACTAAGTGTGCTGTTTCAGATGGTCCGCTGCCCAGCGTTTTGCAGCAAGTCGCAGTACCGGTAATCAATAACACAGTTTGCGAGTCGATGTACCGGTCGGCGGGGTACATAGAGCACATTCCCCACATTTTCATTTGTGCCGGCTGGCGAAAGGGAGGCTTCGACTCGTGCGAGGGTGATTCGGGCGGTCCCATGGTAATACAACGGGAAGACAAGCGATTTCTCCTAGCCGGTGTTATCTCGTGGGGTATCGGTTGTGCGGAACCCAACCAGCCTGGCGTTTACACGCGAATAAGTGAATTTAGAGACTGGATCAACCAAATCCTTCAATTTTAACAGAGACAATTGTTGCCACCCTATAATTTATTTTAGGTATTAAACCGTTGCGTTGTTTTCCTTGTGTGATATATGTACGAGCATAGCCGAAGAGAGTTTTCTTTACTAGTTGCAGTTTTTAGATGATTTTACAGCTCTTGAAAAGTTACTAAAAGTTAAACTGTTGGTGTGTGTGTATGAAAGGTTATTAATCCAAATAATTTTATTCCAGACCGGAATCGCTTTTTGGAATATTATTATTTACGCAATGATTCCCTTAATGGTAATGATTGTTAATTGTTATGCCGTGAGAATTAGTTGAGTTTTAAATTATTTAATATAATTATATCTCGTAATAGTTAATTTATTTTAATTTTATGTAAGAGTGACTATCGAATTATGTACAATACACTACTTAGTAAACGTTAGTGAAAAGAATGCTATGTGTACTTAGTTGACCATGTTACCTACATGGTGCTTCCGGTCTACATTTAGATGTCTTTGGATAGAAATGTCCCTTTCCTACACAAAAGCTGTAAAACAATATAACTAATGGCATACTAAATTGCAACGAACGCTACTATTCCAAACCGGAAGTGAATTTAGCTGGAAACTGATTCAGGGCCATTCAAGATGAACTTTAAAAGAAGAAGGACACCGTTATTTTTGTTGCTTTAGGTAATACGCCGGTCAGCAGTACAGAAACACAGTATAGTGCTACATGTTTTGTCGATTAATTTACGAAGACATAAGCAAACGTTACTCAAACTGTGGGGTTCAGCCCTCAAGGGTGAGGGAGGCGGAGTAAATTGAAATAAAAATACGTACCTAAGTGTGGCCATACGTATTCAACAGACTCCACTTAAAGTGAACTAGTACTTAAAAACGTACTATATTTTTTACATGACGTTTCATTTCATCCAAAATTACTATAATCACCATCTCTCATTGGAATGTGTGGTCATATCAATAATTTCTCTCGGCTCAGACGTTTACCGTTAATCCCTGAATGCATGGCATGATGTTGAAAGGCATGTTATTTCATCAGCATCATAGTCTAAGTCGTTCCTAATTTCCTCAAACTTGTAGAGTTGGTTTAACTCTAATGTGCTTTGAAGATAGCGGAAAATTCATTGACCTTTTAACAGCCAATATTGGTTGGATCTTCCATTCCTCAAGATACAATACTCACATCGTATGCTAAATCTGGTCTGGAATCCAACAGTTCCTCTGTATGGAAAAAACGACATTGTTGAATCTTATTCACTATTTTCCTTCCCTGATTGGAGGTTTTCTTTCAGCATCGGCGTTTTAACGAGTCTACAGTCATTCTGACCATCAGAAGCCATTAGGTAGAAAAGTATGTAACGCTAAACCCATTCCTACCCCTTTAAAGATTAGCAAAAGTTGTCGCAATCGACCTGAAAGAGATGATTTCTAGTACATTTAGACCGTTAGACCCCAAAAAAATTTTATCCTTTACAATCTGACAACACTACTACGATTTCCTTTCCCTTAAAATTTAAAAACGACAACAGTTGCAGCAGATCGACCAGAATTCAATTTTCGCCACCAAGATCTGACCACCACAAACTCAATTCTACTATAGAAAATGTAGGAAGGAACCACCAGAAACAGAGATAGAGCCATCAATGCAAAGAGTATGTAAGGCTAAGACCATTATGTTGCCTGTAAAATTTAGCAAGGCAAAAAATTGTTGCAGATCTATAAGGAAAAGAAGGTTTCTACTAAATTTTGGGCTTGCAGAAAAATGTATATCCATCAGGATCTAAGATCTGACAACTAGAAACACGTTCATCAATTCAATGTGCATGGCATGGTTCAAATCATTAATTTCATTCATTCCCACAGACGTTTATTTCATAATTTTTTGTTCTATTTATCTCTATTATCAAGAAGTCTTAAACAAGGTTTGTGCTAACTTGACAAGACTTCATATCACCAATTTTTTTCACAAATAAGTATTCAGCATCATCCATCTCAAAGGCTTTGTGTGTAGGACGTGAAACGTTCGTTCCAGGCCCTTCATGGAGTTTGTTTCAAAACATATAAACTGCGGCAAAGACTACAAACCATAGCACTTCTTCGTGTTCGCCGTAAAGCAATGCAGTGGAAATAGGTATCAAATTGTGTCGTCCGATATGTTTTTATTCGCAGCAACGCGGATTAGGGATCTGATGTACCACTTTTTGCCACAGTACTACAGGTTTGATCGCAGTCCGCACTTTCACTTTGTGAGTAGCTCTTGATTCCCAGTCTTTTACTTTGTCTACAGTACCATATCGATTAATATCTTGTATGTTAGTACCTCTGCCTGCATTGCTTCAATCCATTTATCAGTACACGCCACAGTTTCTTTGTGGTCCTTCTGGTTCTTGCTTCTATATTTTGGCAGTCGTCATTATGCAGGGTGAAAATTTTGCCTGAATACAGAATATATCTACAAAACAAAATTTTTTAAAGAAGCTTTTTGATGTATCTGAATTTTGGATTACAATAGGGGGGTACCTAGACCTCAATTTCGGGCACTTTGTACTACCACCCTGACTAGAGTCGTTCGACCCCTCAACGCCACGCAAGCCATCCCACACGTGAGATCAACCTAAAGATGTGGGAAGGGGAGGCGGCTCTAATTTATTTATTTATTTTCCCTCACTTGTTCTGGGCCCTCAACGGACTTGTGGCCAATTACAGAGTGATCCGCATAATGCTTTTTATTGTAACCATTCCCGACCAGGAGACCCCCAACACGGATCATCTCAGTTGGACTAAAGCGCTGTATGTGCTTGTTTAGTTTGCAGTGCCCAGAAAGTATGCTCAAGAGTAACCTCAGGTTCATGGTTCAAGGTTACATATGGAAATCAACCCAGAGGTAATTTTACAGTGACGAAGTGCCTGCAGGGTAGCCCTGCTGTCACTGAAGATTCTCATAGTTTTGTTCTTATGTTATGCATAAGAAGTCTTCTCTTGCCCTGAGCATTAGTCCTACTAACACCGATTGGAATACGGTAAGAAGTTTGCCTAGTGGTCAAGTGATATGGAAGTCCAATTTTTTGGAGTA